GTCCTGTCCTTATAACTGTAGGCCTGGAAGGTTGTCTGGGCAGGACTGATTCCTGGAGGGGGCTGGGCTCTGGGGCCTGACATGGTGGAGACAGGGCTGTGTGTAGTAAGGGGTGCACCCTGGTCCTTTCTCTCCCACTGGGGAAATGCAGGCAGGGGATATGGGTTGAACCCTGAATGAGGGAGGTGCTTTCTCAGGCTGCAGGGCTCCCTGCCTGTGCTGGGCTGCAGGAGATAGGGAGAGTACTGTGGTCCTTCACTCTGAAAATGCTCCTGGGTTCTCACTGTGCATGAGGTATTGTGACCCCTTGCAATGCCTGGGTTGCCACCACATTCCCTGCCTAGAGTGCAGACACTTGAGGGATAGAGCAGAAACATCTGTGGGTCCTATTGCAGGGCCTGTGCAAAGCCTGGAGGTCAGAAGACGTGGCCAGGGCATAAGGGTAAGATGGGTAAATATCAACCGTGCCTTGGAGGTCCCGACACTGCTACAGGGCCTGATAAGATGAGAGTAAGACTGCCTCCACCTCAAATCACCCAGCTTGGGGTGGCAGTGGTGATAGGGACAGGTCTAGATGGGGAAGACAGAGCCTTCAGGCTGGACATGCCATCTGGGAGGTTTGCCATGGGGTGAGACTGTGAGCAGCATTGTCCTAGCTGAAAAGAAGAAGAAAGGGTGGGGTGGTAGGGAGCGCCCCAGGGCCTGCTGCTTCTTATCAGGAGAGGTTGCAAAAATAAACCTTCCTTTTAGAGTCTTCAGAGTCCTAAAGATCCTAAAATCACCATCTGAGAACACATCCTGAGTGTTCACCTCTGTGCAGGAGGGTTGCATGGAGCCAGAGCTTCTAGGTCAAGTGCCTGGGTGCCAGGCCACAGCCTATGGGATGTATTGGCTCCATTATGCACCCTTTTTCAGCTGATTGTCTTCTTGGTCTCCCCCACTTTCTAGTGAGTCTCCTAGGATTGCCTCCCACATAAACTCTTGACACTTGAATCTTTTTCTTACGATTTCTGCTTCTGGGGGAGGCTAAGCTGGGTTGGCACACTTAGGTAAGTATTACGCAATGCATATTTACTAATTACGCAATGCATATTTAAGGGTGACTCTGGGTGAAGTCTATTTTTCAGTTGCCTGTGAACCTCATCTTTGATGTCCAGAATCACTTTTGGTCCTATGGGCAGTCCCTCTTAATGGGACCATCAACCCCACATATATGCCACCGAGACCTCACAACGGTGCCTCAGCAAGCACTGGCAGGGGTGCATCTCCTGTACCCTGGCACTGTCTGGCCTCATCAGGCTCCTCGCCCTTCTTAGTCAGCTCCCTGCCTCCGGGGAATGCTGCAGCTGCTCTACTATTCACTGCATTCCTGATTTCCAGGCTGCTCACCTTGCTACCCCAAGCACTGGACTTGCCAAAACACTGGTCAGCTCGTGGGATTATCTTGCATCCCAGTCCCGTCTCTGCTTGGCTCCAGCTGTGGCACAGTGGTCTGGCCATTTCTTCTGTGAGACTCTATTTCCCCACCTGCAGGACCCCTGACGCCAGCTGCCCAGTGTCTCTGAGAATGGTGCCGAGTACAATCGGTCCTCCCTATCCACAGGTTCTGCACTGAGGATTCAACTAAACTCCAATAAAAAATATTTGATTAAAAAAATTAAAAATAACAATACAACAATACAAATAATACCGATGAAAAAGACAGTATAACAACAGTTTACATAGCATTTACCTTGTATTATGTATTACAAGTAATCTAGAGATGATTAAAAGTATTCAGGAGGATGTGTGTAGGTTATATGGAAATACTACTCCATTTTGTGTAAGGGTCTTGAGCATCTTTGGATTTTGGTATCCTTGGGAGGTTCTGGAATCAATGCCCCAAAGATATGAGGGATGACTGTAGTTATAAGAGGGCTCTGGAGTCAGGCTGCCCAACTTTGGCCCTTCCCAGGTGTATTAGGTTGCTAAGGCCGCCACAGCAAAGCATCACATACTGTGTGGCTTTGACAGCAGAAATTTATTATCTCACAGTTTTGAAGGCCAGAAGTCTTGAGATCAAGGTGTCGGCGGGATTCATTTCTCCTGAAGCCTCCCTCCTGGGCTGTACAGACTGCTGCTCTCCCTGTGTCTTCATATGGTCTTCCCTCTGTGCCTGTCTTTGTTGCAATCTCCTTCACTTTTAAAGACACTAGTCAAATTAGATAAGGGCCCAGCCTAATGGCCTCATTTTAACTTAATTACTTCTTTAAAGACCTTATCTCCAACTACAGTCACATTCTGAAGTGCTGGAGATTAGGCTTCAGTTAGGCTCAGTGGAGGAGACATAATTCAGCCCATAACATCACCTGAGTGACTTTGGACAAGTTTATTAACCTCTCTGTGCTTCAGTGTCCTCCGCTGTAAGATAGAAATAATGACAAGGCTACTGTGAAGATTGAATTAGAATACAGAGTTGTAGTCTTCAAACTTTTTTGCTTGCATAGTTCCTAAAATAATTTCAAAAACTATGCACTCAATCATTTTTTTGTTGACATCTAAACTTTTTCATCATAAATGTAAATTGTTGCAAAAAATGTAATTTCCATCTTTGACATCTTAAAAACGAAATGATTGATCCATCTTTCTTTTACATCTAAATGTCTTAAATTTAATGATTGTCTTCATTTATTTAAAGCCATCATGAGAAAAAAAGACCTACTCAAACAAGCTTTAACTGTTAGAAATTTTGTATCGTTCCTTCTTCTCCTTGAATTTTTATCTTCAATACACTTCCCCACAAAATTTCATCCTACTGTAATACATCTTTTGTTTTGAAGGTTCTTTATTTATTGCCCTATTATACTTATCTGTAAGATAATATGTGTGTACAAATCTAAATTAATAATTTTTTAATTTCCTCATTTCATAAGTGTCTGTTAAAATATTTTTTAGATTGACTTATCAATATTGCACAATTAGTGAACTTTGGAAAATTAGCATAAGATTAATCAAAATGACATAAACATATCATAAATTTAGATACATAATTAATAACCATAAGAAGCAAAATTTATTGGGAATGCATTTTTATTGAAATTGATTTTTATTTTTACTTCATATCCCTTGTATGAATTTTTTAGCAATAAAATTTGCTATCAATTTTGTGAATAGATGTTAGCTCTGAAATACTTCAATATAAAGAGAGTGTGAATGAATGAATGAAATTTTCTTTTACTCCTCAATTTTTAGAACTGCTTCAAAGGTATATGTCAAAAGTCAAATGATGATTTATCATCCAAAATGATTTTTAATACTCTACCAGATGACAACTGGATTAGGTCATTATTCAATCCTTGTTGAAAGCAAAGATCCCCCCCTTGTGAAAGATTTAGTTGCCTAGTTAATAATTTGCTTTCTTGACCCAGATATTAGTATTTTACATCAATTCTTGTTTGATGCCCCATTTACTTTTCAATCTGGGACAAGTCTCCAGGATGGTGTGCTTTGATTTTATGAATAGAAAAGGGTGATGTTAAAAGTGGGGAAGGGAAATGAATACAGCCAGACCTCAGGCATGTTCTAAGAGAATACATTCTTAGGAAAGAATACCATGGGAGGTGAGGATGTGGAAACTGATTCCTTAAAACTGTTTTTCTGAAGAGTACCCAAGGGTATGCAGACCGTAGACTGAAGACCACTGATCCATCTAATAAACTTAGAATAGTGCCAGGGACACATGAAATGTTCAATAAATACTAACTATGGTTGTTATTATTGTTGCATCTATTGATTATCTAGTATACAGTAGGTGCTCAGTAAATGGAACACAGAAAGAGTTTAGGTATTCATAGAAGGTTAAACCAGATAAACCTGTACAGCTCCATTTGAAGCTGAGATTCTCTTGTCTTACTTTGGAACCTGCATAACAGATCACCCCATATGTAATAGCTTAAAGCAACTATTATTTGCTCTCGATTCCACAGGTCACCAATTTGGGCTGGCCTTAGCTAAACATTTCTTCTGCTGGTCTCAGCCGGAGTCATTCATGCAGCTACAGTCTCTTGGTGCATCACCTGGGACCTGGTTGTTTTGGTCCTTGGGTGGAATAGCTGGTGTCTGCTCCGTGTAGACTCATCTTCCGGTAGGCTAACCAGGCTTCCTCATGTGGTGGCAGAAGAATTCCCTGCAACAAGAGAGAGAGGGCAAACCCCATAGCACAGGTGTCTTTTACACGTCTGATTGTGACATTTTGGCTAATGTTCTCTTGACCAAAGAAAGTTTGTGTGGCCACGCCCAGAGTCAGTTTGGGAGGGGGTACACATGGGTGTGGACACATACAAGGAGGTGTGATTCACTTGGTCCACTGATGTAACAATCTACCACACAATGCAAGGGTGCCCCTGGTTGTTTCAGCTTTACCTCTATTTGAAGTAAATTCAGCTGTGAACCTCAGAGTGGACACTTGCTGGATTATATGTCCAGGTATTCTTACTTTTCCTCTGCAGCCAGAATCATTTGGTTTTCCTCAAAGGGACCCACTGTAGAAGGAGGTTTTGGTCCAAGACTGTTTTCGTGAGGGCCTCTTTTTAGTCCTGGGAGAGCACTAATCAGAGGATTCAAAATCATTTTATAAGAAGGAGCTTCTAAATGGACAGGTTATTCCATCTGGCCTCAAGAGGGCTTTCTTATGACTCAGGCAGAGCTTAGAGGCTGGGTGACTGTATCACTGCAGGACCCCAACACAACCTGCCTTGGCCCAAAATGAATGCCCAGGAAGTCTGGGGTGTATGGCTTAATGCCTGGCTAGATCCCTGGCTGGGACATATCCAGTCACTGTGGTGTCCATGTTATGGCTCTGCTGTGCTCTTCCAAACAGAAGTATGCAAGTCTTGAGAGCTGGCTGGTATAGCACCAATACCTGAACAACACCTGGCTCCCTGCATTTCCTGGTAATTCCTGGAGCGTGTGTATCTGAAGTAGCATTGGTTTACCATCTCCTATTATTTTTCCTTTCACAGTGAGACATTATTTGGTGAAATGCCCTCAGAACAGGTAAGAATATTTCCTTCCTTTTTTCAAATGAAACTCTTTGCCATTTAACTTTCTTTTGATATTACCAAGAAATTGATTAAATTTGTAGTTTTACCTAAAGGTCTGCATATTTGTCCACAAATATGCCTACAAATGTGTATCCTGCATGCATTTGCATGTTTCTAAGGTCTATAGTCTGGTTGTCACCCCCAGGAATCCAGAGAGCATGCAGCCTTTGCTGGCCCAGCAGGCTTGCTGGAGGAGGCTTGGTGTGTGGTCCTGCAGAGCTGCTCCCCAGTTTAGGAAGGGGCTCACACCTGGTCTGAACCACTTTGATACATTTTGACTGCACACACCCCTAATTCTCTTCACCAATGCTGACTTATTGTATACCTCGCTTTTAGCTGGTGAGACACACCTTATAGGTAACATAATAGTTGTAAGAGGTACTGCTAATTCAAAGTGTTTAAAAATTTGGAACTTCTGATCCAGACAAGATGGCATAGGTCAATTTCTTCCTTCTCTTCCTTGCTGAGTAAAACTTTAAACCTTGGAAATAACATAGGAGATAACCAAATGAAGACTTTGAAAGGTGGTGAAAAGAAGGTAAACTGGTTTGGGATCCCAGGACTGGAGGAGTAACACAACTGTAAGACATCTTATGTTTTCCCATCCAACAGCAGAAGGTCACCCAGACTTGCTTTTTTTCTACTCCAATCTAGCACCAGAAAACATTCAGGTAAGCTCATTCCTCCCCTGGATCGAAGGAGAGTTCCCCTGAAAACCTCAAGTGAGCTCATCAGCTGCAAAGAGGATGGCTCAGGAGCTCCCCCCACAATGAGCAACAGAGGAAGAGCTCACTTTTTCTTCCAGACTGACTCCCTGCCTCAACCAGGTGACACCAAGGCTTCAGGGAAGAGCCAGTGAGAGGCACCTAGACACAAAAGTGGCCCAGCAAGGAAGCTTCTTCATCTCCATGGGTGTGAGGCTTCTCTCCCCTACTGAAAAACATCCAGCTTCCAAATCTGAGGAAACTCTCTCTGTCTCCTCTGGCAGCACTGACAGGGCCCAGTGGCACCATATAAACCAAACAGACCAAAATAATACTGTAAAGGCTCTGAAAATGAAAATGCCGTTGGAACTATAGCCCATAGAAGCAGACCAGGATTACATGATAAACCTACAAAAATAAGAGATTTAAATAGGACCTGGGACCTTCTGACAAGATACTATAAAAAACCAACCATCATTTTAAAAACCACAAAAATCACAACTTGAATGAGAAGAGATAATTGATCAGATCAACACTGAGATGAATCAGGTATTGGAATTATCTGACAAAAATTTTAAAGCAGTTTTTTTTCTTTTTATGAGATAGAGTTTCACTCTTGTTGCCCAGGCTGGAGTGCAATAGCGTGATCTCAGCTCACTACAACCCTCCTGGATTCAAATGATCCTCCTGCCTCAGCCTCTCAAGTAACTAGGATTACAGGCACCCACTACCATCCTCAGCTATTTTTTTGAATGTTTAGTAGAGATGAGGTTTCACCATGTTGGCTAGGTTGGTCTCAAACTCCTGACCTCAGGTGATCTACCCACCTCGGCCTCCAAAAGTGTTGGGATTGCAGGCATGAGGCACCACGTGCAGCCTTAAAGCAGTTTTTATATAAAAAAAGATTCAATGATAATTCAAATTATCTTAAAACAACTGACAAAATTAAAAATCTCAGCCAGTAAAGAGAAGTTATTTTTTTTTAGAAAAAAACAAACATATGGAAATTATAGAACTAAAAAGTACAAAAACAGAAATGAGAAACTCACTGTTTGGGCTTAATAAGAGAGTGGAGATGTCAGTGGGTAGTTTGTGAAGTGGAGAACAGAGCAATAGAATTTATCTAATCTGAACAACAGAGAAAATAGACTAAAAACAAACAAAAAATGAACAGACCTCAAGGACCTACAAGACAAAAGATCCAACATTCTATCATCAGAGTTCCAGAAAAAGAGGATAAACAGAGTAGATCTAAAAAAGTATTAGAGAAATAATGCCTGAAAACTCCACAAATCTGGCAAAAGACCAAGCCCTATAGGTTTAAGAAACTGAGTGAATGTCAGGCATGATAATCTCAACAAAATCCACTTGAAAACACATGGTAATTGAACAGAAAACAAAGTTGAATGACAGTGCGTTTCTGCTCTGAATCCATGGAGGGCAGAGGAAATGGCACATTTTTAAATACTGAAATAAAAGAACTGCCAACCCCAAATTTTATATCCAGCAAAACTATCCTCCAGGAATGAAAGGGTAATAAAGACATTCTCAGAAGAAGGAAAGCTAAAAGAGGTTGCCACTAGCAGACCTACTTTAATGACTAAAATACAATCTTGAAACAGAAAAAAATGCTGGACCCTTAGGAAGGAAGAAGGAATAATGGAAAGAGCAGAAATAGGAGTACATATGGTAGACTGTTCTTTCCATGAATAGTTGTGAATTTTAAAAATCACATTTGAGGATTTAAATAAAAATTATAGAATTGTCTGATGCTCAAGACAACACTGTTTAAAAGTGAGTGAGGTAAAATGACCTAAATAGAAGTCAAAAGTCCATTCAAAGCAGTGGAATGTTGGTGCCAGTAGACCGTGTAAAGTCACATATGTATATTGTAATGCCCAAAGCAATCACTAAAATAACTTTGTGAAAACAATACAGTCAGAATCGCTATAGATAGATCTTAAAATATGTGCAAGTAACATAAAGAAACAGAGGAATGAGAACTACAGGAAATAACCAGAAAACAAACAATAATATGGTAGCCTTAGTTGCTGAAATACTATTTATTTTAAATGTAAATGGTTTAAATACATCAATCAAATTGCAGAGACTCGCAGGGTGGATTAGAAAAATGACCGAACTGGTATGCTTTTTATAGGAAATTCACTTTATACACAGTGACATAAGTAGATTGAAAGTAAAAGGATGGAAAAAGATATAACATGCAAACAATAAAATAAATCAGGTGTGGATATACTATAGCTGATAAAATGGACTTCAGGGCAAAAAACCTTACTGGAGGCAAAGACTGACATTAGATGATAAAGGCTCAATCCATCAGAGAGACAAGTTTCCACATGAGTACACATCAAACAACAGAATCGCAAAATTTAAACAGCAAAAACTGAAAGAGCAGAGAGAAGAAATAGCTAAATCTATAGTTTTAGTTAGGGCCTTCAATTCCTTCCCCTTATCTACTGATTGACCTGCTGTAGATAGAAAATTAGCATGGGTATTGAAGATCTAAATAACACAATCAACCAATGGTGCCCAATTGAGACAGATCAAACACTCTAACCAACAGTAAAAAAACACATATTTTTCAAGGCTACATGGGACATTCATCAAAATAGACAATATCCTGGGCTGAAAAACAACCCTCAACAAATTTAAAATAATTGAAATAATAGAGAATGTGTACTCTGAGCACAGTGAAATCAAATTTGAAATTAGCAACAAAACGACTGCAGGAAAATCTCTAAATGTGGAAACAGTTTTTTGTTGAAAGTGACAAGCTGATTCTAGATAATATATGTACATTTAAAAAAATAACAAAGTTGGAGGACTTACAGTTCTTCTGTCCAAAACTTATTCTAATGGTAGAGTACTGGAGACACTGAAGTATTGATATAAAGTATATAGATCAATGTAGCATAATTGAGAGTCCAGAAATAAATCCTTATATTTATGGCCAACTGACTTTTGACAGAGATGGCAGGACAGTTCTAAAGGGAAAGCTTTGTCCTTTTGACAGACAGTGCTGGGTCACATGGGTATCCATATACAGAAACATGAACTGAGACCCTTGCCTCACATTGCCTCCAAAATTAACTAAAAATGGATCTTAGACCTAAGCATAAAAGCTAAAATTACATTTCTAGAAGAAAGCAGGAGAAACTCTTTGTGACCTTGGGTTGGGCAAAATGACACTAAACACAGGATCCATAAATGAAAGGACTGATGTAATTAAAAACCTTTGCGTTTCCAAAGACACCATTAAGAAAATGAAAAGATAAGTAAGCCCCATACTTGCAAATCAGATAAACCAATAAAGAACTTGTTCCTAAAATATATAAAGACCTCTCACAACTCAATAATGAGGTGACAGATAACACAATTAAAAATGGGCACAAAAGATTTCAATAGATATTTTCCTATAGAAGATATCCAAATGGTGAGCAAGTACCTGAAAGATGTTCAGTGTCATTACTTATTAGGGAAGTGCAAATTAAAACCACAATGTGATATCACTATACTCCCACTACGATGGCTATAATCCAAAAGACAGACAATACCAATTTCTGGCAAAGATGTGGAGAAATTGGATCTTTGTACATTGTTGGTGGGAATATAAAATGGTGCCACCACTTGGGAAAAAAAACTTGGTGGTTTCTTAAAACCTTTAAGTTACTCTATGACCTAGCAATTCCGCTCATAGGAATCTACCCAAGAGAAAGCATATGTCTCACAAAAACATATATGCAGTTGGTCATAGCTGCTGTGTTCATGATAACCAGAAACCAGAGACAATCTAGATATACCCATCAACTCATGAATTGGAAAACAAAATTAATATATCCACCCAGTGAGGTACCACTTAGTAATAGAAAGGAACACACTGTGTATGGACCAAAGCATGGATGAGCCCCAACAATACTAAGTGGAAAAAGTCAGATGCAAAAAATTACGTATATATGATTCCATTTTTATGAAATGCTTAGAAAAGGTTAATTTATGGAGACAGAAAGTGGATTAGTGGTTTCCTAGAGCTGAGTGGGGATTAGCTATAAATATACAAGATGGAATCTTTGGTGGTGATAGAAATGTTTTAAAACTGTATTGTAGTGATGCATGAATCTAAAAGCTATTGAATTGTACACTTGTGATCAGTACATTTTATGGTACATCAACTATGCCTCAATAAAACCATTTGTTTCTTTTTTAAAGCATATGTCCCAATAAGGTCCCC